AAGAAGGAGGAGAGCGATGAAGGAGGAGTGGGGGAAGGGAGGGATGAGGGCAGGGGGCAGAGGCGAGGGAGGAGGAGGGTTGAGAACGAGGGAGATCAGCGGGAGGATGGTAGGAGGGGAGCGGGAAAGCCAGCGGCAGAACCAGACGGGCGGGTCGGGCGGCGGACCTTGACGGGGCGGGTCGGGCGCACGGGGACTTCCAGCTGGCGGGCGAGCTTCCAAGCGAGCGAACGGGCAGGCGGCAGGCCGTAGCAGGCGGATCGGGCGGACGAATTTGGACGGTCGCATCGTGCGGGCGGGTCACTGAAACGTGAGCCCCGGATGAACTGCAGGGAACTCTCACGCGAAAGAGTCGCTCTTGTGCAAGCCGCCAAGTTCGTTGTGAGGAGTCCAGCGCGAGAGCGCGATTCTTGAATAGATCGACTGGAAGTCTCGAGCGGGAACGGGGTCCTGCATAAGTTGCGATGAAGTGTTAGGCGGGAGCCATTGTTGTTGTCAAGTTGAAGCCAGGGGTATGGTTTGAACCCGAAGGTTTGCTTCTTCACGAAACGAAGTGCGAGCCCCTGGGGGGCCCTTCATCTGAAGAAACAGAATGCGCACCGGAAGTGATCAGCGATGATTGCTGTTCCGAAATGGAAACTCAACAACAACAACAACAACAACAACAACAACAACAACAACAAGAACAACGACAACAACAACAACAACAACAACGACAACAACAACAACAACAACAACAACTACTACAACAACAGCAACAACAGCAGCAGCAGCAACAACGACAACTTCGTTACCATCATCAGCCACAACAACAACAACAACCACCACAACAACAACAATGTTAGTATTGTGCGTGTCGTGCGAGATGAGTATCCCAAGCCCTCGATACCCGTCATCTTCGGCTTCGACCATGCCCCCCGTGGGGCCAGATCGCCCTCACCTGCCGCGTGTAGTTGGCGCAACCCCTGAGCCAGGGGAGGGAAGGGAGGAGGGAAGAGACAAGGGGGAAGGGAGGGAAGGGAGGGAAGGGAGAAGGGAGAAGGGAGGGAAGGGAGGAGGAAGGGAAGGGAGACGAGAAGGGAGGAGGGAGAAGGGAGGAGGGAGAAGGGAGACGAGAAGAGAGGAGGGAAGGGAGAAGGGAGGGAAGGGAGGAGGGAAGGGGGAAGGAGAAGGATGGAGCACGAGAGAGGTCTCCAGTAGGGGAGTTAGGAGCAGGAGCATATAAGCGGCAAAACCAGGCGGGCGGGTCGGGCTGGCTCTGGCGTGCAGGTCGGGCCTGCGGGCCCTGACGGCCAGGTCGAGCGGGCGTATCACTGAAGCGTCAATCCAACAGGAATCGCAAGGAAGTCGCGAGCGACGGCGCGACTCCCAGGCGGATCGCCCGAGGATCGAGAGCGAGGGCGCGACTCCGGAGCGTCGGGGGCACGGCGCCGCAGCGAGGTGCGAGGAAGTGCCGCGCGAGAGCGCGGCTCCTGGATAGATCTTCCGGGAGCCCCGCGCGAGGGCGCGGCTGTGGAATGCAACGCGGGGCAGCATCGGGCGGGAGCCGTGGCTGCTGCTGCAGCTGGGAGCCCGGCAGCGCACGCGGAGGCCCAAGGTTCTGTTCACAGGGGACCAGGTGCGACGAGCCCCTGGAGGAGCGCTTTCGCCGAAAAGCGCCATGGGCACCCCGAGGGAGGATCTACCGCTAGTATGATTTAGAAACTCAAACAATAGAACACAAATTCAAACTTAGAAATTCAAATTTAGTATTACTTTGAATTCTACTTATTGCTTAGAAATGAGAACTCAACAGCAATAACAACACAGATGATGCTGGAGAAAAACCCAAATCCGAATCTCTTTAGGGCTATAGGGTTCTGGGGCTATAGCTCAACAGGGCTATGGGGCTAAAGGGCTATAGGGACATAGGGCTATAGGGCTGTTGGGCTAGAAGGCTATGGGGCTCTGGGGCTATAGGGCTAGGGCCAGAGGGTTATAGGTCTGTAGGGCTAGAGGGCTATATGACCATAGGACTATAGGACTATAGGCGTATAAGGCTATAGGGCTGTAGGGCTCTGAGGCTATCGGGCTATAAGGCTATGGGGCTATCGTGCTATAGTGCTATGGGTCCATAGGGCTATAGGGATATAGGGCTATAGGGCTGTAGGGCTGTAGGGATACAGGGCTATAGGGCTGTAGGGCTGTAAGGCTATAAGGCTATAGGGCTACTGGACTGTAGGGCTATGGGGCTATAGGGCTACAGAGCTATGGGGCTAACGGACTATAGGGCTATAGGGCGATGGGGCCATATAAGGCACCCGGGCACCCAGGCACCCAGGCACCCGGGCGGGCCGCGGAAATCGGTGGCAAGTTTCACCGGACCATATGACACCAGAGATAAACCCACTCATAATATTTTTAGGCCTATAGGGCTCCATAGCGATGGGACCATAGGGCCACAGGGCTGTAGGGCTATGGGGCTCTGGGGCTATAGGGCTATAGGGCTACAGGGCCGTAGGGCTATAGGCTATAGGTCTATAGTGGTTTGGGGCTATAAGGCTATTGGGCTATACGGCTATAGGCATATAGAGCTATAGGGCTATAGGGCCATAAGGTTATAAGGCTATAGCGCGGTTGGGCTACAGGTCTGCAGGGCTATGGGGCTATCGGGTTGTAAAGCTATGGGGTTATAGGGCTATAGGGCTATGGGGCTATAGAGCTATAGGGCTCCAGGGCGATAGGGCTATAAGACTATAAGGCTATAGGGCTATTGGGCGATAGGGCTATAGGGCTATAGGGATATAGGGCTATATGGTTGTAGGGCTATAGAGCTATAGGGCGATAGCGCGATAGGACTATAGGGCTATTGGGCTATTGGGCTATAGGGTTATTAGGCTATAGGGCTATAGGGTTATAGAGCTATAGGGCTGCAGGTCTATAGGGCTATAGGGCTATAAGGCACCTGGCCACCTGGGCACCCGGGCACCCGGGCACCGGGGCACCCGGGCATCCTGGCGGGCCGCGGAAAGCGGTGGCAATCTTCACCTAATCATATGTATCCGCTAGGACCCCTACAGAGGCAAGCTCTGATTGGGGAACAACTTCTCCCTGCCCCGAGGTCAGTTTTTAGGGTGGGCCGGGCGTTTCGCCTGAGAGTTCTTCACCGTTTACGATTCTGAATTTGAAAGATTGGCAGCAGTTTCACATATGGAGAGCGGGTGGTTTTCAAAATGTGGCTCTCGTTTTTGCGCCGCGCACCTTCGCTCTAAATAAGCCTCTGGGGCTATAGGGCTAGAGGACCGGAGGGCTACAGGGCTATAGGGATATATGGTTATGGGGCCACAGGGCTACAGGCATATAGAGCTACAGGGCTATAAGGATGAAACACTAAAGAGCTATAGGACTATAGGGCTGCTTGGCTATAGGGCTATGAGGCTATAGGGCTATTTGGCTATAGGGATATAGGGCTATAGGGCTGTAGTGCTATAGAGCTATAGGGCTCCAGGGCGATAGGACTATAGGGCTATAAGACTATAAGGCTATAGGGCTATAGGGCTATTGGGCTGTAGGCCTACCGGGCGGGCCGCAGAAATCGATGGCAAAGCTCACCTAACCATATGAATCCGCTAGGACCCCTACAGAGGCAAGCTGTGATAGGGGAATAAATCTGCCAGGACCCCTACAGAGACAAGCTCTGGTTGGGGAACAAACAGACAAAACAACCACACACTTCTAAGTCAGAGGCGCAGAGGGTGCCCAAGCGCTGGCAGCAGATGGAAGTGCGAATTGCGATCGAGCATCATCGAAGGCCATGTACGAAGTACCGTATACTGAAAATGCAGCAATGGGTGGCATGAAAAATGAACTTTAACTCCAAACGGACTGTGCAGCAGGCAGAAAACCGAGGACGCTACTCAACTCGAAGTAAACTGAAGCGCAAACAGTCTGATGCGAATTGGCGGCCACTGAATCACCGAAGAGCGGTGTTAGACAGTGAAGCGCAACAAAACCCGTAACAGCTGCCACACCAGCCTATAGGTGTGATAAGACGCTGACCCAGCACGGCCCGACAAAGCAGACTGGTAGGGTGTGAACCTACGAACCGACATCACAAGCAGACTCGATAATGGACAGAATGTTGGACCTACATGCAGCAACACCACAACAGCGTAACCCGAAGAGGAAACGCGTAGACGATCACACGAACGCACACAACACAACACAGCACAGCACAACACAACACAACACAACAACAGTTTGGGAAATTGTTTCAGAAAAGGATTCGCCTTCAAGGCTCGAGAGGATGATTTTCCTTATTCGGCAGAGCCCAGCAGAAGTTGGCGGAATGCTGGCGGAAGAAACAAATATTTCCCAGGGGATGCCAACGTTTTAATTTTGAGGGGTTCCCAAAGTCGGCCAAACGCGGTTTACGGGAACCGAGTGTTGGAGAGAAAAGACGAGGGAGGAAGAGCTTGTGGCCGCAGCTCGTGGCTGGCAGCTGCGGAGCTGAATTCCTCGAGCGCCTCCTCTCTGGCATGGCAAGCCGAGGCATGCCTCGAGCGCGGCACGGGAATTCTACATTCCAGAGCTGTCGAGCACGAGCGGCAGGCAGAGGGAGAGAGGGCAGAGATTCGAGAGGGAAGCGGGGCCCGCGCACGACTTCGCGGGCGCCCTCAGCGCGGGCCACTGAGTGCTGCCCGCCGCCAGGGGCCTTGCATCGGCCAGCGACCTGCGCGGTCGTGAGGAATCGCCCCGCGCGGTGTCAGAGACCAGTGGCGACGCCATCGCGGCGCGAGCCGGAACGACCTGCGCCGTCGTGGAGCATCGATCCGTGCGGTGCTGGAGACCAGCGGCGACGGCATCGTGGCGCGAGCCTGCCGCATCCGGCGAGGGGCTGCCCGAGCTTCCGGGGCGCGAGGGGTCGCGGCGCGGCGGCGCGCTGTCCTCCCTGGCGGCCACGCGCCGCTCCGGGGAGCCTCCTCCCCGCGCCTCGCCGCGCGAGCCGCCTGCGAGCACAGGTGGCGGCCGAGGAGGCGCGGCTGCTCGAGGAGTTCGCGGCGGTCACGGGGCCCGCCGATGAGATGCAGCAGGGAGGCGATGGTCGGCACTGACGAAATGGGTACGGACAGAACGGGTGCAATGCCCAACAGCAGTTCCTGCTCCTCTTGAGCAGGAGTCGCTGTCCACGCCGCCGCGGCCTGTGCCCGTTCGAGACAGAAGGCCGCCTGCCCAACAGCGGCCGCTGTTGGTCTGGGACAACATGTGTTGTTGGGCACCGTACCCATGTTTCCCGTACCTATGTCGGGCGTCCACAGATGGGGCCTGGACGTTTCTCGCCCACTTCGGGCTCGTGGGGCCGAGCCTCGAGAGACGATGCGGGATGAGAAGATGGGCCCGGGGGAAGGCCCCGAGGTCCAAGGCCCGCTTCCTTGCAGGCTCCGCTGCCGTCGGGCCAGACGCAGGAGGAGCGAGAATCAGGTGCAGGGGAACGCGAGGCAGCCGAGCGAGGAGCGGGAGGAGGAGGAGGAGGAGCATCGGACTGTGGCACGGAGGTGACACTCGTACAGTGCCGTTTTTAATACATGCTCCACGTGCGGATCATGTGTTGAAAATGCATGGATGTTGTATTAAAACCAACGATGAGTTCATGTACAAATTTACTCATACAGCAATCATGTATTAAAATCCTATACTGATTAAAATCTTATGTATTCAAAACTGCCCTGTAGTTTCGTTCACCACTGGCGCGAGGTTCCCTATTCATTAAGAACCCCAGCCACCAGCTGTGCATCGGTTAGTTAGGAGCTCCTGATAAGTGCGTCCTGGCGGTGCCAAAGAGAGTACCCCCAACCGCGAGTACCTAAGGAGGAATCCGAGCGAAGACGCGAGTAGTTCGTGTAGCATGATGCCTGGACGTGCTGCTTAATGGATGCAAAGATCGCTTTAGTGTCATAGCTTAGCTAGTCGTTGCTCACGTACGCTGCTGAGCTATAAACGAATCGAATGCACGCAGCGTTCGCCGCACAGCCGGCAGAGGCAAGAAAATGGCATACAGCATGTGTTCGGTTTGGCGAGTTGACAGTTTGGTGAGCGGCAAGTTGGAGGACGTGCGGTCTGCATTGAGCTATCGTGACACCTGTCGCGCTACACCATGATTTGCTTCGTCTTGCGAATCGCCGGGACATTACAGTAAAGACGAGGGTGGTGCAGCATCCCGCGTTGCCATGTCCGGACAGAGGCGACGTGCTAGACGTCTGAGGTATGAACGCTTGGGGCATTGCCCAAACAGCACTTGAGACTCTACTTCAATGCAGTCGCAAAGTCATAGGGTAAGTCCAACGTCAAGCCCACGGTCGTACGGTCTCTACGTCACCGTACCAGCTCACGGCTTCCAGATGAGCGTTCATTCAATTTTGTTGGTCTGTGAGGGTACCGGTCACAGTAGCCGCGCCGTGGTGACGCAGCGTTTGTTCAGCAATTCTGTCATAGACATTTCATGGATCCCATGCTAAGCAGTCACACTTGTTAGAGCGCTTGGTTGCACATTCGGAGCTTCGGCTTTGCTAGAGCTATTGTCTTGTGTACAAATTGGGGCTCACATGCCTGGATGTGTCATCATTTCATCCTCCGCTACCGACTCGACTTGGCGACGCTTCGCCTTCCGGTTTGTTGCCCAAGCTTTATGGCATTTGTTGAATATTGCGCACGCGATTCAGCCAGAGCTTGCTTCGGTCGGGGCGAGATGGAAGGAGGGAGCGACAAGCCCGAGGTCCTGAACGCCCAGAAGCGGCGGTGTCGCCGGCTGTGGGAAGCTGGCCGTGGTGGATTGGCGATCGGCGGCGCAGGCACGTCGCGCGTTTCGCGCCGCTAATGCCTTCCTCCTGACCCGCATTGAACTTTCAGCCGAGCCCCTCCCTGGCAGCTGGGGCCCACATGATGCGGTGAACACGCCGTGCGGTAAGTCAGTGGGGATTCGGGGGAAGAATTAATATTTCACACAAAACTGCGTTGGCGCTTCGCGCCACGCACCTTGGTTCTTGAAGTTTGGCAGGCAGGCAGAAGTCGCGGCGGAAGGGCAGGAAGGTAAAGCATACAAAATGTTGATAATTCCTCGTTGTCTTGTCCGGTTCGTCCTCATGATAAGGCCAGTCGTTATTTTTCTCTAATGTATCCTCTTCCCCTTCTTCGTTCTGAGGTCCACGAAGGGAGTGGTGACCGCCCCCTAGTTGCGATTCCCCTTGGCATTGCCCGATCCTCCCACTCCCTCCTCCTCCTCCTCTTCCTTCTCCTCCTCCTCCTCCCTCCTCCTCTTCCTCCTCCTTCTCCTCCTCATGCTCCTCATCCTCCTCATCCTCCTCGAGGCCTCACCTTATCCACGGCGCAAGCCCCACCACCACCACCACCACCTCCTCCTCCTCATCATCATGATCCATCATCATCATCATACTCACCACCATCACCACCATCACCATCATCATCATCATCATCATCATCATCATCATCATCCTCATCCTCATCCTCATCCTCATCCTCATCCTCATCCTCATCCTCCTCCGCCTCCTCCTCCTCCTCCTCGTCTTCCTCCTCCTACCCACGTGCCTGGAGGGAACGTCGCGAAATTGGGATTCGGACATATTTGGTGGAAATGCTGGACGAGGACGCCACTGCGGGGTCGTACGTCAAAGGCCTCTTCGATGTGTTTGGGTCTGTGGGGAGGCGTCTCGGGGTCGTCGCGGAAACAATGTTGCTGGTTTGGGAGATAATTTGGACCCCCCCCCCCTGGTTGATCTTCTTGGGGACCTCGTGAACCCTGGTTGAGGCGTTTGGGCGCCTGTTGGCAGTTTCGTGGGTCCTTTAAGGCCCGAGGGCTCGCGCCTGGTGACGGTCTGAAGGTCCGTCTTGGGGCCTTCTTCGGGGATCGTGGGGGCATCTTCACCCGTCTTGGAGCCTTCTCGGGCCGTCAAGGGTTGTCCTAGGGCGATGTTTGGGGCCTTTTGGGCCTTCCTGTGGCGTCGGTAGCGCGAAAAAAGGACAATGCCCAAATAATACGAAATCCTACAGGAAATTCACAGGTTTTGGATTTGGAGGCCCACTTGGGGGTTCCTCTTGGAACTCTTTGGGGCGTTTGGAAGGTCTCTTGGGCCATCAGGAGGCCATGTTGGACCCTCTTGGGGCTACCGCCGGCTCGTTTGTACGACTTGGAAGGGACTCCACACACCTATATATATATAGAGAGAGAGAGAGAGAGAGAGAAATATATTCCTCTTCCTATATTTTTATAAGCCCCGGCGGGGGGAAAACCCGTCCCCCCCCCCAAAAAAAAAAAACTGACTCCAGGGATCTGGGGCTTTGGGACCCTCCGGACGGGCCTCGAAGCGGCCCCCCTGGCCTCGCAGGGCGTTTTGCCAAGCCTTCCCAGCACACCTAGGGCGATCAGGGGGGTCATCGGAGACGTCCCAGAGACCCCCATGACAGCGCAAGAACGCTCCAAGAGTGACCGACGTGACCTCAAGATGGCCCAAGAGACCTCCAGGACAGCCCCAAAGAGACCTCCGAGAGCACTCCCAAGAGGCAAAAATCATGGATTTGGGGTTCTCCTCTTTTCGGCTTCCCGACGCTCCAAGACGGCGGTCTTCTGGGCGTCCGAAGCCGCCTGGGAGGCTCCAAAATCGCCCCACAACCATCCGAAAGGGCTTCCAGGCAGTCCAAGAGAGCCCCAAAACGGCACAACACGGGTCCAAGATGGCCCTCAGAGAGCCCCATGGCGGCCCAAGATGTCCCCAAGACACCCTCCGAAGCATTCCAAATTGTGACCCGGTCGTTCAGGGAGACCGTGGTTGGAGGCAGGGTGGCCCGAGGAAGCCCCCAGAGGCTCCCAGAATACGCCCAGGAGGCCTCCAGAAGGCCTTAACAAAGCCTGAAACCATTTTTTGTAGGCCCCCAGAGGCTCTCCCAGGAGGAGCCTCCGCAAAAAAAAGCTGAGGAGGATAGGGAGAATGCGCAGGGTATGGCGAACATGAGGAAAAAGAAGCATGGAGGAAGGATAACGAATAACATTATTATAGCGGCGATGCCGGAAAAGGCAACAAAGAATTATCGCTAAATTGTCGGCTTGATTTTCCTGCTATGCTGCCTGCACACCAAATTTCAAGGACCAAACTGCAGGACCGGGTCACGATTTGGAATGCTTCGGAGGGTGTTTTGGGGCCATCTTGGGCCGCCATGGGGCTCTTTGAGGGCCATCTTGGACCCGTGTTGTGCCGATTTGGGGCTCTCTTGGACTGCCCGAAAGCCCTTTCGGATGGTTGTGGGGCGGCCTCGGACGCCCAGAAGACCGCCGTCTTGGAGCGTCGGGAAGCCGAAAAGAGGAGAACCCCCAAATTCACCAAAAACCCACAGAATATCAATTATTCACTGCGTGGAGCTCCCCATATGTGCATCTACTCGCATGGACCTGTCCGCCGTGAATGTCAAGGCGCAAGAGCTTTCGAATATTAACGGGCTTCAGTTGTGACGGTCTGGACATCAATCTAACTGCGAATGAATTGGAGTGTGAATGAGCCTCAGTAGTACGAGCGCGTCTCTGTGCATGAGCCTGGGGCCTCCTGGGGCCTCCTGAAACCTACTGGGGCTTCCTGGGGTCTCCAGGAGCCTCTTGGGACCTCCTGGGACCTCCTAGGAAGGTTTCGTGCCCCAGGGGAGGCGCAATCTATAGCAACAGACGTACATAAAACATTGCGGATTAGAGCCACAGGAGAAGGGCAATCTATAGGAACACGCGTAAAACACCAAGGACTCGTGCCCCAGGAGAGGCCCAATACATAGGAACATGAGTAAAACATTTAGGATTGTGTACACAGGAGAAGGACCATCTATAGAAACATACGTAGAACATCAAAGAATCGTGCTCCAGGTGAGGCCCAATCGATAGGAGCATACGTAAAACACATGGGATTGGAGCCACTCCTGTTGCCTTCTGAGGCCTCCTGCTCCTGGGGCCTCTCGGGGCCTCCTGTTGCCTTCCGAGGCCTCCTGGCGCTTCCTGTTGCCTCCTGGGGCCTCCTGTGGTTTCCTGAAGCCTTCTGGAGCTTCCTGGGGCCTCCTGGAGCCTCTTGGGACATCCTGTAGCCTCTTGAGTCTTTCTGTGGCCTCCTGATGCCTCCTGGGACCTCATGTGGTCTCCTGGAGCCTCCTGGAGCCTGTTGGAGCCTCCTGTGGCATCCTGAGAAGAATCTGCGCCCACGAGCCTGGCCACCAAAACTAGCAAACCGATCGAGACATCCTCAAAATCTGGCCCACCTGGGGGGTGAAAATGAGCGCCTCGCTCGAGACATCCTCCAAATCTGCTCCGAAAGCGAAGGATGTTGGGCACAGAAACAAGCAAACCGCCTGAGACATCCCCACAAAATGGCCGCGAACGAGCCCGTGCAACCACCCCTGGCGGCTCCCCTTAGGGGTGCTGAAATGAGCGCCTCGCTCGAGACATCCTCCAAATCTGCTCCGAAAGCGAAGGATGTTGGGCACAGAAACAGGCAAACCGCCTGAGACATCCCCACAAAATGGCCGCGAACGAGCCCGTGCAACCACCCCTGGCGGCTCCCCTTAGGGGTGCTGAAATGAGCGCCTCGCTCGAGACATCCTCCAAATCTGCTCCGAAAGCGAAGGATGTTGGGCACAGAAACAGGCAAACCGCCTGAGACATCCCCACAAAATGGCCGCGAACGAGCCCGTGCAACCACCCCTGGCGGCTCCCCTTAGGGGTGCTGAAATGAGCGCCTCGCTCGAGACATCCTCCAAATCTGCTCCGAAAGCGAAGGATGTTGGGCACAGAAACAGGCAAACCGCCTGAGACATCCCCACAAAATGGCCGCGAACGAGCCCGTGCAACCACCCCTGGCGGCTCCCCTTAGGGGTGCTGAAATGAGCGCCTCGCTCGAGACATCCTCCAAATCTGCTCCGAAAGCGAAGGATGTTGGGCACAGAAACAGGCAAACCGCCTGAGACATCCCCACAAAATGGCCGCGAACGAGCCCGTGCAACCACCCCTGGCGGCTCCCCTTAGGGGTGCTGAGTATGAGTAAGTCTGTGTATGAGTAAGTCTGTGTATGTGTACGTCTGGGTATGACTAATACTGTGTATGAGTAAGTCTGTGTATGAGTAAGTCTGTATATGAGTATGTCTGAGTGTGAGTAAGTCTGAGTATGAGTAGGTATGAGTATGAGTAAGTCCGAGTATGAGTAAGTCTGTGTATGAGCAAGTCTGAGTATGTCCGACAGGAGGGGAGGAGAAAAGAGGAGGAAGAAGGAGGAGGAGTAGGAGGCGTCCAAGTAATAACAAGAACCCCATCTTAGGATATGGGGAATGATTTGTGCCTCTTGGGGACTTCTTGGGAGTGCTCTTGGAGGCCTCTTTGGGACCGTCCTGGAGGCCTCTTGGGCCATCTGGAAGTCACGTCGGTCACTCTTGGAGCGCTCTTCTGCTGTCTTGGGGGTCTCTGGGACGTCTCCGATGACCCCCCTGATCGCCTTATGTGTGCTGGGAAGGCTTGGCAAAACGCCCTGCGAGGCCCGGCGGGCCGCTTCAAGCCCGTCCAGAGGGTCCCAAAGCCCCAGATCCCGGGAGTCTAGTTCTGGGGAGGGGCGACGACACTTTTCGCGTTCCGCCCAGATTGTAAAGATACATATATATATATATATATATAGAAAGGGAATATAGCCAAGATTTTACCGGCTCGCTGCGCTTCGCCTTTAAAATCTTGGTCGCATGGCGCCAGGGAGGCGCGATGAGATCGGTTGTCGTCACAACCGCGGTGTGTTCTGGCCATGGAGACCATGAAGCAAACAGG